ATTGCAAAACAGTACATTATAAAAATAATATAATGTACCTTTTCTCCAACATATTAATATTTCTGCCAATAAGATTGGTTACTTTTGTATTTGTTATCAGATATTATTTATTTTTTGATTTATAATATTTTAAAAGGAGAAAGTTTTCCTAAAGACCATCTTCCCTCCATTTTCACATTATACAGGATGCTATTAGTCAAAGCTACGGATGGCATACTCTATGGATTATTTAGTTGCAGTTGCTGGTTTTTAGTGATGATGATCATAATTATTCTCATGTTAAGAAAAATAACAAGATACCTCTGATTATAGTGAAGATTTTTTTCCATTTCTTTATTTAGTAATTCAGAACTACATTTTACTTTCTACGCAAGCATGATATACTGGTAGAAGTTGAGGAACAAATTAAGGAAACACACAATGACACTCCTTTGGTACTTTAAAATGCATATATATGTATATATACATATATATATTTAGTTGTATTTGGACATAATACCTTTATTTAATTTATGTATTTTTATATAGTGCTGAAGATGGAACCCAGCATCTCACATGTGCTAGTTGAGTGCTCTACCACTGAGCCACAACCCCAGCCCTCATTGGAACTTTTTGAGGATAAAAAAAAATAATAATAACATTCTGGTAGAGCCAAGAATGAAGATTTCTTTGAAATCACCAAGGACTTGTGGCTTAGCAATGGTAGAACAAAAATTCAAGCTTAGCTGCCCTGACTCCATGAGTAGGACTGTGTTCACTAGCATAAGATTGGCCTCCCTATGGAGCTGACAAGTACAGCAATCACAGCCTCTATATCCTATTTCTCCGCTGAGATTTAAGTTGGCCATGCACTTTTAACATTTTCAGCATCTATGTATACCTCAAATATCACTCTTCTGTTTTTGCCATCCATACAGTCTCATATACTTATCTCCTTTGATTACTTCTCCGCCCCCTTACTCCGACAGCTTCTTCTCACAGATACTGAATGAGGTTACATAACAGTATTGGTCATAAACAGTGGACATATGAATCCATCCACAATTGTGAAGTATATTTTCCTGGGTATCTGTGCTTCTGATTTGAAACCTGGTAAAGTACAATACAATGACATAATTAAAACAAATGTAAGGAATACCCT